ATTTTGTCTCTATAGATTGGCTTAGACTGGACATTTCATTTAATCTGTGGTCTTTGTGACTGTTTCTTTCACTTAGTATAATGTTTTTAATTTTTTTTATACGGATATGCCACATTTTTTTTATCCCCTCATCAACTGCTGGGCTTAGGATGTTTTTACCTTGGCTGTTATGAATAGTATTGCTATTAACATCAAATACATAGGTAGGTAGCTACATAGATATGTGGATATACACACGTGTTTGTATGAACACCTGTTTTTCATTTCTTTAGGGAATAAATCTAGGCATGGAATCACTGAGTTATATGATAATACTACATTTATCTTATTGCCAAACTATTTACCACAACAACTATACCATTTTACATTCCCATTGGCAGTGTATTAGGTTTCCAAATTCTCCACATTGTCACCACCATTTGTTTAACTTTTTTGTTATCCTCACCCAAGGATATGTTTATTGATTTTTAGAGAAAGAGAGAGAAACATTGATTGGTTGCCTCCCATATGTGCCCCATTGGGATCGAATCTACAACCAAGGTATGTGCCCTGACTGGGAATTGAACCCTCAACATTTTGATGTACAGGATGATGCTCCAACTAACTGAGCCATCTGGCCAGGGCTAACTTTTTGTTGTTGTTGTTGTTGTTATTTTTAATTATGATTTTTAATTATGACCATCTTAGAGTGTGAAGTTGTAGCTCATTGGAGTTTTAGGTTTTGGTTTTTATTTCCCTGACAATAATCATGTGCTTACTGGCCATTTGTGTATCATTTAAAAATATATATATATTTTTTATTAATTTCAGAGAGGAAGAGAGAGATAGAAACATCAATGATGAGAGAGAATCACTGATTGGCTGCCTCCTACACAACCCCCACTGGGGATTGAGCCCACAACCCAGGTATGTGCCCTTGACTGGTATTAAACCTGGGACCCTTCAGTCTGCAGGCTGACACTCTATCCACTGAGCCAAACCAGCTAGGGCATTTGTGTATCTTCTTTAGAGAAAAGTATATTCAGATTCTTTGCCCATTTTTAAAATTAGGTTTTGTTTTGTTGTTCAGTTGTAAGAGTTATTTATATATTCTGGCTACTAGATACTCCTGGATGATTATGTCCTGATAAATCCATTAAGTTGAAAATATATGTAAAAAAATGCATTTAACATACCTAACCTAAGGAATGTCATAGTGAAGCTTCTCCTATTTTTAGCATGCTCAGAACACTTACCTTAGCCTTCAGTTGGGCAAAATCATATTACCCAAAGCCTATCTTATAATAAAATCTTGAGTAGCTCATGTAATTTATTATGTATCACTTCCACACTACTAATAAGTAAAAAAAAAATTGTAAGTCAAACCATTGTAAGTCAAGGGTTCTGTATATAATTCATGAATATTTCTTCTCATTCTGTGGGTTGTCTTTTCACTATCTTGAATGTGTCCTTTGATGCAGTTTTTAACTTTTATTAAATCCAGATTATTTTTTTTTCTTTGGTTTCTTCTGTTTTTGGTGTAGCATCTGAGAAAGCATTGTCAAATCCAAGGTCATGAAGATTTATCTCCCATTTCTTCCAAGAGTTTCATATCTTAAACTTATATTTAGGTCTTTGATTCATTTTGAGATAAATTTTTAAATGTGGTATGAGTAGGATTTCAACTTCATTCTTTTGCATGTAGCTATCCAGTTTTCCCAGCATCATTTGTTGAAAAGACTATTATTTCCCTATGAAATGATTGCATGAATGAGTTTATTTCTAGACTATTAGTTCTATTCCATGGATCCATATATCTGCACCAATACCACACTGTCTTAATTACTGTTGCTTTATAGTTAAGTTTTGAAACCAGGAAATTCAAGTCCTCAAACTTTGTTATTCTTTTAAGATTGTTTTGGCTACTCAAAGGTCCCTTGTGATTTCAATATGAGTGTTAGGATTGACATTTCTACAAAATAAGCCATTGGGGTTTTGATACAGATTTCACTGAATCTGTAGATCACTTTTGTGAGTATTACCATTGTAACAGTATTAAATCTTCCAATCCATGAACATAGAATGACTTTCCATTTATTTAGGTCTTCTTTAATTCCTCTTAGCAATGTCTTCTAGTGTTGAATGCCTAAGTATTTGACATTGTAAATGCAATTGTTTTATTAAACTTTTTGTAGTTCATTGTTAGTATATAGGAATACACTAACAATGAACAATAAATGGTTTTAGTGTGTTCATTTTGAATCCTAAAAGTTGCGGAATTCATTTTTTAGCTCTAATAGATTTTTGTAGATTCTTTAATATTTGTAGACATTAATTTTCAATTTGCCCAGCTTTTTTCTTGTTGTAATGATGTTACTACAGTCATGCGCCACATAATGATGTGCATATATAATGCTGGCATACCATATAGCCTAGGTGTGCTTTCGGCTATACCATCAGGCTTGTGTAAGTACACTACATGATGTTCACACAGCGATGAAATTGCCTAAGAAAGCATGTCTTAGAGCATGTCCCCATTGTTAAGTGGTGCGTCACTGCACTGCTCCTTTCAGCTCTACATCTCTGAGCAAAAATTCAAAGCCACTCTGGATGCAGTTTTTTTCTGATTTTGTGAGACTTACTGTTTTTGCATTTTAGTGTGCAAAGTGCATAAGAATAATTTATGTTATGATCAGGTTATCCTATATATTTCATTAGTCAAGTTGGTCAATCATTTAAATTTTCTGTAACAGTGGTCAGCAAGCTTTATGTAAATGTCAGATAGTAGGCTTTGTTGGAACTACCAAACTCTACAGTTTTAGTGCTATAGCAACTATAAATAACACATAAACAGAGGAATGTGACTGTGTCCCAATAAAATTTTACTTAGAAAAGAACCAGTAGTGGTCAGATTTGGCTTCTGGGCTATAGTCTGCCGACCCCTCTTCCAATTACCTTTTGTTTGTTTTTCAGACTGCTTGTCCTGTCAGTTACTGAGTTGTGTTAAAATCACTAATGATAACTGTGGGTCTGTCTATCTAATTTCTGTTAACTTTTATTTATATACAGTTAATTCTAATTATTCTCAGTAGTTATGTTCTAAGTTACCACGAACACTGAATAAGCAAATACTGAATTTTTACTCCGAGGGGAAATACAAGGTTAGGTTCCTTTTAGCCTCTGGTCACAACATTTGGGACAATCAATCAGTACATAATCTTTTTATATGTGCTTTTGTTTGAAAACACCTTATTTGATATTATTGTTGATTCATGATCTAACAGCCAACAGCACCATAATTAATGCTTGAACAAAGCTTATCTAACACCCCCGTTTTCTCCATAAGGCAAAGCACAATCTTCTTACACTCAGGAATATTAGGCAGCATTTCGCAGGGGGGCTGTTTTACAAAGTGAAATCACAAGAAAAAGCAGGAAAAAATGCTAAATAGACTGCAAAAAAGACACGTGTTTACTCTGTGACAGCTGAAACACGAAGGCAAAGCATTATCCTGTTCAATCTCAGCTGGGAAAACTTGTATTGGGCACTCAAATTTTTCACCATTTTGTCAATGTCCATAAATGACCACAAATTCATGAGTATTGATTTTGAGGTTACAAGTAAATTTTAGTGAGTAGGTGAATTTGCAAATACAGAATCTCTGAATAATAAGGATAGACTATATTTGGAAGCTATATTTTTAAGTGCACACCAATTTGTTATATTTTCTGTTAAAAGGACCATTTTATCTTTATGTTGTTATTCATTATGTTTTTATCATTTGTTCTTACCTTCAAATCTGCTATTTATGTTAATATAACCAAATCAATTTTCTTTATGTTGGTGATTACTTGTGTATCTTTTTTCCATCCTCTTACTTTCAACCTAAATATATCACTCTCTACAAATTGTGTTGTTTTTTTAAATACTTTTTAAAAATTGATTTCAGAGAGGAAGGAAGAGGGAGAGAGAGAGAGAGAAACATCAATGATGAGAGAAAATCATTGATTGGCTGCCTCCTGCACACCCCCTACTGGGGATCGATCCCACAACCCAGGCATGTGCCCTTGGCCAGAATCGAACCCGGGACTCTTCAGTCTGCAGGCCAACGCTCTATCCACTTAGCCAAACCGGCTAGGGCTTAAATACGTTTTTATTGATTTTTTTTTAGAGAGAAAGGAAAGGAAAGGAGAGAGAGAGAGAGAGAGAGAGAGAGAGGAGAGAGAAACAATGAGAGAAACAACATTGATGGGCTGCCTCCTGCATGCTCCCTGCTGGGTGGGGATCAAGCCGGCAACCCTGGCATGTGCCCTCACTGGGAATCAAACTGGTAACCTCCTGGTGCGTGGGTTGACACTCAGCCACTGAGCCACACCAGCTGGGCTCTATAAATTCTGTTTGATTTGTTGTTCTTATACTGTCAATCTTTCCTTTAATTGGATTGGTTAATCCAGAAGTTGACAAATTTGTTCTATAATGGACCAGAGAGTACATATCTTCCTTTAGTAGTTACAAGGTCTCTTACGGAACTACTAGTCAGTGCTAGCTCAGCACAAGAGCAACTAAAGAACTGGGTGTGTGTGACTCTGTCCCTATAAAGCTAAATTGAAAAAGTGGCAAACTGAAATTGGCCAAGGTCATGTTTGCTGACCCTCGCCTAAGTATGTATACCTGGGGTTGTATATTGAGGGTGTGGGATAAAAATTGTAGGAACTTTATATTTTTTTTGCTAAAATTCAAGCAACAAAATCTTTACTAATGTGCTTATTGATTGTACATGTATATAACTCAAAAATATATACAATAAGTTATAAATACTTTTACTAATTAACTCCAAAGTATAAATTAGACCCCAAATAGGCATTTTTATTTTCATTTGTGTTTTAAGATCTTTACAGTAAACATAAGAATTGTTTTCATATGTATTTTTCTATGTCACCTAATTCTGAACCCTTCAAATTGAACAGAAGCGTATGCAGGCATCAGTGTCATTCAGGGACGTGACTGTGGAGTTCACCCAGGAGGAGTGGCAGCACATGGGTCCTATTCAAAGGACGCTTTACAGAGATGTGACGCTGGAGAACTACAACAACCTCGTCGCAGTGGGTGAGCATAGCGCACAACTTACTTTTGTAACTCTGTCTAGAAGGCATTTCTTTTTTAAGCAGTACTACACATGGATACTTTACTTAGGGTTTGCATTCAGGAGTATAAAGTAACTAAGCCCTGTTGAGCAATGTGCTGTCAACTCCCAATGATAAATTCAATGAGGATCTTCAGGCTGCTCTTCCTGAAGCTGCATCTTTTTCCACTTTTGGAGACCAAAAAGCTTATCCTCTGCCCTAAGTACTCCATTGTTCCTACTTGTAGGGAACTGCCTTTTCAAACCAGAGGTCATCTTCAAGTTGGAGCAAGGAGAAGAGCCTTGGTTCTTAGAGGAAGAATTCTCAAACCAGGGCCACCACAGTGAGTTACTGAGCACCAGCAGACAGAATTCGGTGGCGCTAGTTAGACTCTAGAAGGTCAGCTTAGCAGTGAACACCTATGTATTTCAAGACTTTTAAAAGGCACAAAAAGCACCAATAGAAGGAAATGATTAACAGACTTCACTAAATTAAAATTGAGAACTTTGTTCATAAAAGACCATTAAAAGGATGAAAAAACAAGCCACAGAGTAGCAGAATAGTCATACAATAAAAGTAACCTAAAAAGAATACACATCCTGAAAATGTAAGAACTTTTGCAGGTCAATATAGGAAAAGGTAGCAATCCAGTTGGCTAGAGACTTTGAATAGGAACTTTGAAATGGCCAATTAATTCTTTGAAAATGATTAACCTTATTAGTTCTCACAGAGTGCAAAAAATATATGAGGTGAGATAAGAGAGATGCATGATATGCAGTGAGATCAACAAATTTGGTAATGCCAGGTCCTGATGAGAATGTGAAATATCAAAGATCTTCACACACTGAGTGAAAATGTGAACTGGTAAAACCACTGTGGGATTAGGAGGATGTTATCAAATCAAGTTGAAGTTTTACATACCCTGTCACCAAGCAGTCCCTTTCCTAACTGTATCACCTACAGAAAGGCATGATTGTATTCTCTAGAACAGCGGTCATCAACCTTTCAGACCTCACGGACCACCAGTATTCGCAGACCACCGATTGGCAACCACTGCTCTAGAATGAATAAAAGAATATTTATGGCAATTTTGCTTATTTTTGCCAAAAATTAGGCTCAGCAGAATAAGGAAATAATTGTTTTCCTAAGGGGGAATTATAAAGCTAGATAAAATCTTATACACTGATTATAAATATACTAGAGGCCTGATGCACAAAATTCCTGCAAGAGTAGGCCCTCCTTCCCCAAGCTGCTGGCACCGGCTTCCCTTGCAGCCCCAGCTTCATCTGGAAGGACATCTGGTCTAATTAGCATATTATACTTTTATTATTATAGATTAAGTAAGAGAAACAAAAAATATAAATATGTCTACATGATTATATGTTAGAAAAAGGCAAAACTCAGTTACATTTTTAAGAAGTCATATATTGGTCTAAAACTACAAAGAAAATACAGGAAATTATTACATAAACATTATGGAACATAAGCATGAAGAAAGTGTAACCAGGGAGGGTCAAATAGGGATTTTTGCAGAGCAATTTGTGTTGTTTTTTTGACATGATTTCTAATTCCATAAGTGTTCACTGTATACTTTTATATTGTACATATAAGTTAGATGCAGATATAAATTATGTTTCATGCTTAATGGAGTGTTAAGAGATGAGTCAAAAGTAAGTGATATTTACAAGTTATATAACCCATAAAAGATTGGCGTTCAGAATACTTAAAGAATTTAGACCTTTCTTAAGTGTCGTCTTTGCGGTAAGATTTTCCATAATACCCCATTTAAAACTGCACCACTCATATAAAATTAAAATGTGGAAATTTAGGATGAGGTAGTGATCAGGGTCACTTATTGTTCAATTTTGATAGATAGAATAAATCAAAGGAGAATCTAATTTGGTTGCAAGAATGGATTTTCCTTTCATCAGTTTTACTCTTGTTTGTATTACTATATAGACTCACAGCTATAAGGTGGACTAAATCCTTCCCCTTTTGGGCCTAGCCCATTAATGCTCATTAAGTTCTTATTTTTCTTATTACTTAAGTTTATAGTCTTGTTGTATCCATCCCATAATCTGGATTTCCTGCTGTCTAAAATAACCACTCCAATAAATAAAAGTCCAATTTCTATTATCTTTTCATTTTCCATCCAGGTAGCAAAATCCAATCTATCTAAAATTCAAATATAAATATGTATTTATTGCCAGTTTTCTCTCTCATTTTCACTATAACAATATTTTTTAAAAGAGAGTGAATAGACATATATCTACATACATATGTGTATGCACGCAAATTATTTAATCTTGAGAAACCAAAAACTGAAATGCAACATAAGGTATATGTCTGTAAGCCCCACTCACAAAAAATATAAGAATCATAAGATATTTTTCATTTTTTCCCAGTATTAGAACATTACAGAAATGATGACCTGATCAAGAGGAACAAGAAAATAAAAGACAAACACTTGCAGCAAATAACACTGATCAATAATAAGACTATGACTAGAAAAGAAGAGGAAATTTGGGGAAAACCATTTAATCTACACATAGCTCCTGTTTCTTCAACAAAAATGTCCTGTAAATATGTCTCATGGGGAGTGAATTTGCAAAATATTTCTCAATGTGTCATTAATATTACCTATTCAACAACAAAAACGGATTGCTGTAGTGTCTGTGGAAATGTGCCTTTCAAAATTAACTTTGAGAGAACTCATACTGGAGATAAATTTTTTGAATGTAATAAAAATGGGAAAGCCCTCATTTATAAAGAAAATTTTCTTGAGCATCAAAAGTGTCAAATTTTGGAGCAAGGTTCTGAATATAATTCTGAAAAATTCCATGATGAGGCTGCCTTTGTTACACACAAGAGTATTCACACAGGAGAAAAGTCCTGTAAAGATGATGGATATAGCAAAAATCGTGATAAGATAACACTCTTTGATAAAAAAAGCACTGGAACAGAAGAGAAGTACTCTAATCTTAAGCAGTGTGGGAAATCCTTCTGTGAGAAGTCAGCTGTCATGGAACACCATAAAGTTAACATGGCCATGAAACACTATGTATATAATGCCAGTGAGAATAATTTCAACAGGAAGTCACATCTCACTCAGTCTCAGAGAATTGCCACAGAAGAGAATGCATTGGTATATAATGACAAAACACAAACTGGGGATAGATCCTTTGAATATCATGAAAATAGAAAATCCTACCTGATGTCAGCCCACAAAGTACGCCAAAGAACTCACTCTAACATCAAATCCTATAAATGTAACGAATGTGGGAAATCCTTCTGTCAAAAAGGACATCTCACTCAACACCAGAGAACCCACACAGGAGAGAAACCATTTGAATGTAATGAGTGTGGAAAAACTTTCTCCCAGAAGTCTCATCTCAGTACACATCAGAGAATTCACACAACAGAGAAACCCTTTAAGTGTAATGAATGTGGGAAAACATTTGTCCAGAAATCAACCCTCAGAGGACATCAGAGAATTCATACAGGAGAGAAGCCCTATGAATGTAGTGAGTGTGGGAAAACTTTTGTTCAAAAGTCAACCCTCAGAGACCATCATAGAATTCACACAGGGGAGAAATCATTTCCATGTAATGAATGTGGTAAAACTTTTGGCCAGAAATCAAACCTCAGGATACATCAGAGAATTCATGGTGGTGAGAAAAGTTATCAATGTAATGAATGTGAAAAATCTTTCTGGCGAAAAGACCATCTCATTCAACATCAGAAAATACACACAGGAGAGAAACCATTTAATTGTAATGAATGTGGGAAAACTTTTGCCCGGACATCAACCCTCCGAGTTCATCAGAGAATTCACACTGGGGAGAAACCATTTAAATGTAATGAATGTGGAAAAAAATTTGTCCGGAAGGCAATCCTTAGTGATCATCATAGAATTCACACAGGGGAGAAACCCTTTCAATGTAATAAATGTGGGAAAACTTTTGGCCAGAAATCAAACTTCAGAATACATCAGAGAACTCACAGCGGGGAGAAGTCTTATAAATGTAATGAATATGAAAAATTGTATAAGAAGTCAACCCTAAATGTAGGCCAGAGAATTCAGGGAGGGAGAAAACCCTATTGATATAACAACTAAGGAAAATCCTTCTGGCTAAAGACCAACCCATTTGACATTAGAAAATTCACATAGAATGAAAACCATATAAATATGAATGTAGGAAGAATTTTGTCCAACAGGTAACCCTGAGAGTATATCAGAGAATTCACACAAGCTACTATGGAGAAAGCCCTTTTGAATGCAGTCATGCCCTATTAGAACTCTCACAATAACACAGGCTGGTAATCTGTTCACTAGTAAGAATTTCATTTTTTCCTCTAGGCACATAGCTAATCTAAATTTCCCAGTCTCCCCTTCATCTAAGTGGAACTTTGTGACTGGCTAGTGGAATGTGGATGCTCATGTTGTATGCCACATCCAGTTCTGACAAAAGACTTCCCCAACAAGTGACCAGGCTGCTGTAAGGGTAACATGGAGATGACTTCCAGGCCAGCCTTGTATGCTGTGATTAACATGGCATAGAACAAGATGAAAGCCAGGGTGCCTGAAATATGTGGAACCAAATTTTCTTCCACATCTTTCCTTTTGAAGATTTTGTGAGCAAGACTTGGGCTTGTATTCTATTGAGCACTTATTTGTGCAGGTCTGTTTCTGCACATAACTTAACCATCCCAATGCTGGAGAGCAGAATACTACTGCATAAGCCAAACTTACATCAGCCAGTGGGTACAGACATTATTAGAGAGTTGATATGTGAAGGGGTCCTTCAAAGATCATCAGAGAATTCATACAAAAGACATCCGTTCAGTATCATGAGGTAAGATCATACCACCTGATACTGGGCTTTGGATGAATCAAAAAAGTTGGAAGATCTTAAAAATTAGATGAATGGTGAGCAGCTATCATGTAGCTAAAGTAAACCTGGCTTGTTTAACAGCATGAAGCCATTCTCCCTCCACACCTCCTGGCACTTTGCTCTACCCCAACCTCAGCTGCTTTATGGGAAGAGGTTTTCCTGTCTCCAATGGGGACTCAAGGCCTTTGGCATACACCCAGTTATTCTGGAGAACTTCGAGGGAGGGGAAGGAAAGTGTTTATGGTCCTGTAGGATACAGGTACCCAAGTCAACATCTTACCAGTTTCCATGGAGTTGGGGGTACCTAGATTTAGTTATTGTCCTCAGGGCAGGTTCACAGTAGGGAAGGAAAATGAATGTAACCTTCTCAGTAAATGGGCCATTTGCACCAGTGCAATGTGCTGTGGTTACTTCTGTATCTGGAAGTATAGTCGAAATTAATGTAGCCCTGGCCAGTGTGGCTAGGTTGGTTGACCATCATCCCATCCACTGAGAGGTTGCCAGTTCGGTTCCCATTTGGGGCACATGCCTGGATTGTGGGCTCAATCCCCAGTAGGGAGCATTCAGGAGGCAGCTGATCAATGTTACCCTCTCACATCGATGTTTCCCTCTCTCTTCCCCTTTCTCTGAAATCAACAATAATTTTTTTAATTTTTTAAAAGAAATTAATGTCATATGTTATACTCCCCCTTCCCGTAAGGTACAGAGAGAATTCTCCCAGTCAGGAAGTGAGATACCTTTGAGGTCCCACAGCCCTTAGTGGGCTTCAACTCTCTGACTGATTTTGTTGACTCAAACTTCCAGCAAAAGGAGGCCCCTTGGGGGTGAGGGGACAGGGTGGTTTGAATTGATGCCTGGGCAAAGCTACCAAGCATATCCCCTTTTTAGGTACCTATTAACTTAGTCTTGAGCTCTCTTACACTGAACATCTGCGTCCCAGAGACCTCTGACTTGATTGTGGAGTGTATCATCTTAGACCAGTGGTTCCCAAACTTATTTGGCCTACCGCCCCCTTTCCAGAAAAAATATTACTCAGCACCCCCTGGAAATTAATTTTTTTAAATTTTAATAGCAATTAAACAGAAAGATATATGTATTAATGTTTCTACCTTTTTCGTAAAATATAGTAAAGAAAGGTGTAAATTAGAAACATTGAAGTTTGAAATTATGAAACTATTTATTGAACTCAGAATAGAAAGGTAATACAAAAAAAGTTAAAACAAATGCACCTGTGGCCATCACCGCCCCCTGGATCGCTGCAGCGCCCACCAGGGGGCGGTAGCGCCCACTTTGGGAATCACTGTCTTAGACCAACTAACAAGATGGAAAGGACTTCATGGTATGTTCAAGAATACAGCTCTCCTAGTCCCAGCAGTATCAGCCGTACATGAAATAGTAGCTATCCTTTAGAGAAGAAGTTTATCCCCACGCTGCTGCCTGGAGGAAAGCTGCTGGCTCAGCAGGGCCCTACATCCACAGAGGTTACTCTGAGCAGCCCTTGTTTCCCTGATGGTTTGACCAGTTGAAATCACTCAGAGCCTGTGACTATTCAACCTGTCACTATGCAGACCCAAAACTTGATGTGTTCTCAAGTCTAGCCAGCATTCCCTTTGATCAAACTCGGTGTGTTTTTATTTACTCTTGGGCTCTTACTGTGCCTACCTGACGTGTCAGATGTAACGCACGCCACAGAATGACAAAAGCAGCCCCCTGGTTCTGTGAACTGTGGGAAAAGGCACAGCTGCTGAGCATCACACCTGGGTTGTTTAACTAGATGCCATCTTAAGAGACTATTCTCTGAAAACTGACTGGAATCAAGTTGTTGATGAAGACTTCACTACCCTGATTGCCAGCATTGCTACCTGGATCAACTGTCTTACTGACAGCAAAACATCCACCATCATGCACTGGATACAAAGTAAAGGTCTCTGTTTATCGAGTGCCTCTCTTGATGTAATTTGATATTAGAAACTATACTTTATTTTCTTCTGGATTAATAGGCAATGTTCAATATACCAGTTTATTAATTCACCCCTTTCCTACTGATTTTAAATGTCTTCATATGCTAACTTGTCATTTGTAAAGATATTGCCTGTGGGGCTGCTCATGGCCCATTTCCTACATTCTGTTACACTAGTGTCTCGGTGTACGGATTTGTGCACATTGAAAGGAAATTAATTAGAAGAAATATTTTAATATTGCTATTCACATCTTGCTAATGAAAAGAAAATAGGATTCCACTGAGTCTCCTATCTACCTACTCCAGGACTTCTGTGAGGATCAAATGAGATGAGGCATGGGAAAATGCTTCACAAACATTTGGTTAAACTATAAAATATTTGCACCTGGCTATAAAGCAAGTTGGGTTCCTGGGCTGAAGAAACTCCAAGGAGGCTAGTCGCTAGGGAGAGGAAGCCGGGCATTGCTACGTGACGTCATTACCTCGCGCCCACAGACCCTTTCCAGGCTGGGCTGGGCTGTGGGCCGAATTTTGCGCCAGGGGGTCTTGGCAGCATTGGCTGCAATTTGGTGGGGTGTCGCTCCAGGGTGGTGGCGGGGCCTGTGTCCCACTTGGGGGAAGCCGAGTGTTGGTTTGTTGGCGCCAGGTCTGTGGTGCCGTTTATTTTTAAATGGCCAGTGCGTGTTATGGCAGCTCCTGCATTGAGCGTCTGCCCCCTGGTGGTCAGTGCTCATCATAGCTACGGGTCGAATGGTTGAACACTTAGCCTTTTATATATATAGATACAGATTAGTAACAGATCCTCCTTTTGTGAACAGGGCTACCTTTTGTGAGCCCAAGTACTCCATCTTTCTGGCCAGATACTGAAGGTTTCACTGAAAGATGCTTGAATCAAGTTTACAGAAGGAGAATACCTCCCAGGAGGTTGGAAATGGAACATCACAGACCCGTTACATGTTACTCTAGAGCAGTGGTTGGTAAACTGCGGCTCGCGAGCCACATGCGGCTCTTTGGCCCCTTGAGTGTGGCTCTTCCACAAAATACCACGTGCGGGCACACATGTACAGTGCGATTGAAACTTTGTGGCCCATGCACAGAAGTCGGTTTTCGGAAAGGAGAGAGACAAAACAAGTATACAAGACGAGTGTGGATGGGAGAGCTGGAAGGGGTCGACCTCAGTGAACGTACCTCAATCAGATTGAGGACGTTTTAGCAAAGGCCAGTTTAGGAGTACCCTAATTAAGTTAATAACAATGTACCTACCTATATAGTTTGAGTTTAAAAATTTGGTTCTCAAAAGAAATTTCAATCATTGTACTGTTGATATTTGGCTCTGTTGACTAATGAGTTTGCCAACCACTGCTCTAGAGCTACCAGCAGCCTTGCCAAGAAGATGCATCTTCAATAAGAGAAGATTATGTCCAGTTAGTGCTATATTCTCAGAAAATCAAGAGATTATTGTTTACTCTGTTTTTATGATAGTTGGTAATATATAGAAAGCCTCATTCTTTCTTAAAATATTTTCTTGGATTCTTAAGATACTTAAAATTATCTTCCTAACTCCCCCTTTTCTATAGAATCATTGAGGATTATGACTGGACTTGCTATGGTGTACAGGATCATCCACCCACCAGGATGAAACCAATTCACCCCAGTGGCCTGAGTCATTCAGTGGAGGCCAGGTGGCAACGTCTCAGCTGGAGGCCCTGGGCTACGCTGTAGTCGTGACTGCTCTCTTCTCCCTGCCTGGGTGATCTCCTTTCCAGGTCACGGACTTTTTTTTTTTCCAAGAAGGGAAAAGGATTTATTAGCCCACTTCCAGGACAGGGACCCGGGCGGTGGCTGGGTTCATGTTCTCACATTCAGAGGGAAGAGGCAGCAGTGAGACCCGCCTGACTGCCTTCACTCCTTCTGACGTGCACAGCTTGGTGTTCACAGACCCCTCTCCTCCTGCAGGAGGAACAGGACTCAGGATGCCGACTTGGGAGGGTGCGGGTGGCTTGGCTTTACTCTTGGCCTTTACAGGCAGAGCTTGGGCTGGGGATCCAGGGCATCAGCCATTCAGTTCACAAGGAGCGACACTTGGGTCTAGAAGGAACGGGCCATGGGGGCTCGCAGGTCAGCTGCACCAACCCCACTGCTCGGCTGCTCCCACTCCGTGATGCTTCCAGGTGATTTTGACTTTATTTATAAACAAGATGAAAATCCAAGCAGCATTAATTTAGAGCAGTGGTTCTCAACCTTCCTAAT